ATCAGACGTGACGGTTGGAGTGCCGAACAGCTTTGCGATGAAATATTTTGGAACGGACTGATATTTTTTCGACTACCTGTCAAGATCGAGATGTTTTGGGATATCGACTGCGTATAGTAACTGTAGCGAAGTCATTTCTAAAACGCATCGATACAACATTCATGTGGGTCTTATTATCAAGTGTTTATTTCTGCTATAGGCTTTTGTAACTGGATGACATGACCTTGGTAGAGCAAGGCAAAACATGGAGCAATCGGTTTTGTGTTTATGTCGCCCCATCCCGTTTATATCTATAGGCAGCCGAATATATATGTAGTTTTTATTTATCGATCTGTCGGCTTCGGATTTCGTAACGTAACCCCAGTGCTACAAAGAGCTCGCTTCCTTTATATTTCTTTGTATAACTTATCGCCTCATTAATCGTCTTTTTGTTCTAGCGTGCACCTGCAGCTTTCCTTTCGTTCCTCTAACGAGTCCTTGTAACTAGAAAACCGAATTCGCTTGAGGCACATAAGCTTATCATTCCTTTCGTTTGAGCTTTCAGGACAAAGTCTGAGCTCTGGCCTGACTACTACAATTTAATTATTGCTGAACTTCTCTCTAGAGAGGATTTTATCGTTTTTCTCCATTAGGGATAGGGAAGGGGAGGTAGTATTCGACGAATAATTCGGCTTACCACAATAGCAGAGCCATTTTGCGAGGTTATACTTGGCCCTACTACAAATTCCATGCATGCAAGGTATTTTTCACATTCAAGCTTTTTTTTAATTCGGATATTTAACGGTAGTAGGGGGATGGGTATGACCAGTGTACCTTGCCTTTAAACGCGTTCTTAAGTGAAACGGGAGATTATGGCTTTTAAGAGCATATTTATTTTTTCTGTCGCTTGTTGATTTTTGGCTTATCGTTTGTTTTCTAGTAACAGCCCTTAGTGTTTACAGATTGGTGGAGATTCTGTTGTTTTCTTTGTTATAAAAAATGTTTATGCTTTTGATTACTGTGTATTACGAGTAGATTGAAAATCAACGTATCATTCATTTATCGTTACATATGTACACACACAAGATGCAAAATAAAATTGGCAAATCATTTAAAACATAAATTAGCAGAGCAAAGTGACAAATCGGTACAAGAAGACTGGCTTTATTTGTAATGAAAGCGCTGTGATTTTCGGAAAAGGAATACTTACGAAATCAATAATTATAAATAAAAACATTTGGCAATAAAAAACTTAACAAAAATTTAAAATTGGACAACCCCAGAATACCCGACGAATGCTTGTGCGAATTTGAAAAGTTGGCTAAGACTATTTCTACTGCCGGCGAATTTCCAGCCCCGAATATTTGACTGGCTATACTTTCGCAAAGTGTAGACGCACACTTTTCGGTCCTACTAATCGGCGACTATAAGGGCCGTAGACTTGAGTCGATCATTCAGCCTCTTCTTCTTCCTCATATTCCTCTTCATCCTCCTCTTCTCCTTCGTCTTCTTCTTCTTCCTCACCCTCGTCTTCATCCTCTTCCTCTTCTTCATCTAGCCCTTCATCCTCGGCATCAGTTTTTGCAGCTGTACCACCTAGTCGTATAACAGCCGTTTCTTCTACCTGAAATGATAAATTAGATTTAGAAAATGATTTAATAGGTTTAATGATTAATTTCTCAGTTTGAACAAAACTCACCTCAGCTTCGGGCTCCTCTTTCTTCTCCTTCTCATTTATCTTATTCTTTTCTTCCTTTTTCTCCTCATCCTTTTTAACGTCGTTCCTCTTGGCTGATGTTGGTAATGTGAATACGTGATCGACAGTTTTTTCTTTCCCAACTTCTCCCTCTTCTTCATCCTCGCCTTCTTCCTCATCTTCTCCTTCTCCTTCCTCTTCGTCTTCACCTTCTTCTTCTTCTTCGCCTTCATCCTCACCTTCCCCTTCATCTTCGCCTTCGCCTTCGTCGTGTGTACCCGCTACCCCGTTTACTTTTTTCTTGTCCGATTTGCCCTGAAAAGCAGTTCATTTAGGAGTGAGACATTTCAAAGACATTTGAGACATTTACTACTTGTCAATAAAAAAGGATAAACTTTGATTTTTATGACTAAAACATGACTGGAACTAGGGCAGCTTCTCGGCAGTTAACATTGCTGTTCTAGGCCTGGTCAAACCTCTTTCAAATTGCCTTGGGACAGCAAACACAATAATGAGCAGCTCCCATGAAGTGGAAGCTGCTCATTCAAATTCGTGGATTAAAATTTACTAAAGTCGACAAGAACTTGCAATTTCTGCACTGGACTGGTTGACCCGAGATTGGTTCGGAAGGATTGAAAGTGTCTCGGCTAGTCTAGTAAGTAATTGTGTAAGCCTAACCCGAATTTTAATACACCCTCGAATCTGTTGCAGTGCGTTACGCATCCTTGAATGGGATTGGTAAAATTCTTAAGCAAATTATCCAGGGTGGGAACATGACCCGTCTGTGTTCTACCGAGCTATTGTTTAATGTGAGTTTGCCGGAGAGGCTTACCATAATAGAGGTTTATATTTTATCTAGAGGGAGACCTGACAACTTTTTTTCGAAAATAACAAAGTCAACTATCTTATCAGGAGGGTACTCAGATATCCATCCGAAACTATCTACCGCGATAGATTCAATTAATCACTTAAACTGGCTTAACTTCCAGGCTTTTCCCGCTACTTTTAATACAAGTGATACTGGCTGAAACTTGGCAGTACATCCCTCGAGTTGTATTTTGCGTTAGTTTCGAATGACCGTGGCGACGAGAGTGTAATGACGCGTGTGGGCAACCCATCGCGAACATTTCTTATACGATTCGTATCCGGTGTTCCTCAATCCATTAGGTTTGAGGACAAGTGTGGTTTTCCCCTGCTATTATAAAAGTTTTTATGGTTTGACGCATTCTACAGCCGGAATATTCTGTCATCCTGGGAAGCTCCTACTTAGAAACGCATTTCGCAATAAGTTAGGGTTTTGTAGAATATAGGCGTTTGTGGAGCTGCATGGCGAGGAGAACTGCCTACTAAATGTACAATTCGGACTGAAATTCAATTAGTATTACAGTAACCTCGCCTGTAGATAATAAGCTTTTAGGGATAGAGCTGCGATGCGATAGGATGGAAGAGTGATGAAGGAGGTCAGGAATAATAACGTTCGATAAGGGACGATAAGGAGCACTAAAAGGCAGAATCACGAAAAAAACCGCTGTCCCTCGTAGAAGTTACATTTTCGCTCTTAGAAATGGAATATGGGTTGGTATTGGAAGTCTTAGGCGGTGGATCTGGATTGTGGCTGCAGGTGACAACGAATGTCAGGAGCGTTGAAGGTCTTTGCGTGATTCCCTATCTATAGCTAGGGTGACTTTTACAAGTAACTGAGGTAATAGAATACAAATTATCAATGGGGAGATTTGATTAAAACTGATAACATGGAGTAATGTTGCATTGAACGGTCCTCTTGTGAGACCCCCTTCTGACTACAACTCCTTCCGCTTGAACAAGTAGGGATAAGACGAATTTAACATCTGACTCCAATATGGAACCGATTTCTTCCCCATTCTGTGATTCTCATAGGCTTGTACCTTATTCAAAAACTTGTTCAATAACTTTCTCCCTTGTTTGACTCCGTTTCTGGGTCAATCCCCTATGAACCGTAATCTTTTCGGGGCCATTCCCAATTCATTCCACTTAATCCTCTATACAACCTTGAACCGCTCCAGACTAGGCCGGGAAAAGGATAACAATTACTCTTAGCCATCAATACAGACCTCTCTCAATTATGAATATCGCGATAATTGGGCTCAAAAACTATGGCACTGGAGAACCTCAGGTGCTCACCTAATTGACCGCAGCTGGATGGCTTTTTTGAATGGTCCGCGGAAATATGAGAATGTACTGAGCACGGAGGTGGCATTCCATCGTTTTTGAGTGCTTTTGCTGCGAGTTCCTGCAGTCCTTTGAGCTCGTGAGACCAAAAAGATCATGTTGGAATTGTTCTACTTCTCCCACCACACCTTTACCGAATGGATCAAAAATCAAATTTCAGGATTGAAGGCGGATGTTGTATTCGGGCTCATAACACAAAACA